AGGAACAACGTGTTTCAGATGTGAATTATATACGATTTTCAACTCTGCGACTTATTTATCGACGGAGACTTCCGCAGCGTGCTCACCTCGATAGGGAAAGAAATCCTTGAATTTCAATATATTCTTGGGAACTTTTTTGCCGAACTTTTCTTTTTGCAATTTTGTTGCAGGTGTTGAGGTATGTATGATGGAATTATGAATTATGTAAAATATGGTCTGATGAGTTGCATTACTCAGCAAAGACTTGACGACTTGAAGAAGGTTGGCTTGATGCTGATCTCGATAAATATTTAATTCAACAATAATGTTTATCACTTGAATCATCTGTGGTTAGTATATAATGTGAGGGACCTACTATTTCATATTCCATTTTGTTATCTTCGAGGATATCATCTCAACCATGAACATTGCCCGAGCAATCATTCATATCCTCAAATCATGTAATTCAACTCGGAAAACTACACCTACCTCATATGTTCGAAACTGATCAGCAATGCGGGTAAAATGAGACTCCGTTAGCACCTGATGTAAATGTATATAGCGCCGACATAACCGATCACGCGAAACAATGTCGATCTCTATTTCTGACAGTCGTCAAAGCATTTCTGCTCAATGAACTCTGGAAACTTCATATATGAACAACTTGCAGCGGACTGTACTGATTCATGTCGATCTCCAGAAATGAAATCTTGTCTGGATCCCAACCTGTAATGGAATTTCGAAATATCAAATACCCTATTTATATAAATATAAACTTCTATGATGGTTGAATTTTGGCTGGTTGGTGCCTGACAAAGCCTCGAATTTTCTTGAAGTTATTAAGTTATCTCAAAAGGGTGTCTTGAGTGCACCTACTATTTCCAGAAATTCGGCGAGATATGAAAGTATAACGAAATGAGCAAGGAAGTTGTGTTTTCAATTTCATAAAAAATATGAAACTCAGAAAAGCAGTTGCGTGAAGCCATTGAATGTCGATAGGGTAAGCAACAGTGATACCACTGCAATCGTTCCTCTAAATATATCACACTGAAAGAATCTCATTGTTACTGTTAACAAAACTACCGAGTTTCATTGAAATCGATAGAAAGAATTTTGACTAATTGATAACATGATTGTTCATCAAAATGTCCATATCCTCTACATAAAGATAATCTGGCTTATTTTCTTCAACTAACCGGAATTACGTTCCTCGAATTCAGTATAACGAGCGATGAAAACATCTGTGAATGTATATATAAACCTATCCAAACCACTAGACAATAAGGATATAAGTGTTGATCTGAATTCTGCGGAAAAAGTTTCGAAATTGGAAACTGCTTAATCTCTACAATCCATTCAATTTAATTCTACATTGCAAAACGCTATTTATCGAACGAACATTGTCTGAACTGAGCATTGTAGCTATTTCGTAGTTGATGAACGCTTTGTTTTAGGGATCTCTTAAGTGCACTCATTTTATCAGCTGATGAATATATTGCAGATGTTGCAGTTTTCTAGCCTTGTGAGTATTGAATGATCACTAGAATGAATTTTCGCTCGCTTTGATGAGAAAATGTCAAGCATTCGACATTCTTTCCACTCATGCCTACGTGAGCTTGTACTGTACTTGTACACTTCAGTACATTCACCACACGTGAACATTTCGTTTCTGTGTGAGTATAGATTCAGGAACTACTGACTTAGCCTCGTGTTGATGAGACTATCAACTGTGTAACCAATGCTTAACTAACTCTATTTATTTGGTAGAGAAATTGTGATGACGTATGAAGTGAAACACGTATCATATCTCAACATAATCATATGCAGAGCGCTGAAAACGTGCTAAGCGCGTATCGTATATATTGAAACAGGCCTCAATGTTCCTTAATGTTCGATATTTCAGTCAGTCTCTTGCTTGATTTGATTCAATGAGTCCTCAGACTCGTGCCCTGGCGAGCGATTCAGTATGGTGAAGAAGAAAGAAGAAAGTGAATGCAATCGAAGGCCTGGTCTGATCAGAGCCATTATCACACGCATCATGCATCGCATCATTATATATTCGCTTCCAAGTATCCACAGCTGAGGGCCTGGATTCCTTTTGTGCCTGAATTCTTCATTCTTCGGTACCTCTCGCCGAGCTCCGAGCGGTGACTAAGTTAGCTGACACCGTCCATATACAACATGATCTCTGAAACCGACTGTAGGTAGGTTATACGTAAAGTAGAAGCAACACGATCAGCACAATTTTAGCCATGTTGTTGCCCTTGAACCCCAGCCCCATTGAAAAGGAATATTCTCAGATACATTTATGAACACAAAAAAATGGATGAAGGTATGTACAGGGTGTTTCTTAAGTACGTGTAGAAAATTCAGGCGCATGTTGCTGACTTCGAAATCAGAAGAGAAGTTCGTATTGATATATGTCCTGAAGTTATTCGTTTCTGAGATACAGAATGTCAAAGTTGAATTCCTATTTTTGTTTTTTGTAGATAAATTGCAAAATAAATGTGATATTCGAATGAAGTTTGGTATCTAGGGGTATTTTTTAATGACAATATCAAATTTTATGTTAGTTTGTCTCGTTCGTAGGGGTGGCGCCACCAACATATCTTCTGAGTCTTTGGAAAATTCATAACTTTTTTGTGCGTACCTTTATCACGTTTTATAGTAGTGAAACTAGTGAAATAAATTTCAAGAACATTCCTGTGTGAAATATATATTCCTGGTAGAGGTCGATTCGAGGAACTGTTATCGAATTATTGGGATTTGGAATAATCGATGCATTTGAATTATTTTCATGGAGCTCGTAAGTCGCCTCTAAGATCTGATAAGTTAATATCAGAAGAGATACGCCAGTGCATTCTTCTTCTTCAATTCAATATTCAATGATGATTCTGCCTTCTTTTTATCAACTATTTTGGCCACTTTGAACAATTACTTCAATCAATTCCCTCAACTAACTGTTTTAGTATTGATTTGGTCTTAATTTCTGTTATTATTATAAGTATTGAATCGTAATAACACCCGTTTCCTATTATGAAATGAAATCAAACAAAAATAAATTTCCTTTCTTGATAAATCAATTTTGAATTCCAGATCCAAATAACCCGAAAACAGTTGCTCGCAGCGATCTATACCAGGAATGTATTTTTCACACAAAAGTGTTCTAGAAATCTATTTCCCTACTTCAGAACGTTATACAGGAACGCACAAAGAAGGTATGACTTCTCAAAAGACTCAAAAGACATGTAGGTGGCGCCACCCTCACGAAAGAGACAAACTAACATCGAATTTTATATCGTCATCGAGAAATGCCCCCATAGATACCAAACTTCATTCGAATATCACAATTGTTTTGAAATTTATCAAAAAAAAAAAAAAAAAATAAGAATTCAACTTTGACACTCTGTATCTCAGAAACAAATAACTTTAGGACATATATTTATTCGAACTTTCCTTTTCATTTTGACGTCAGCAACATGCTCTCGAATTTCCTACACGTACTTCAGAAACACCCTATATACCTGGCACTGAGAATCATCTTTCTCGACGTTCTTTGGATGTAGGTCGAGACATTGAATGAATCATTCTTCATTATCGTGTTTTCCTGCCTAAACATAGTAAGTAATTTGATCTGAATTATGAATTATATCATCATGCTCTCGATATATCATTTCATATTCAAGGGTAATCGTGGGATACAAATACTCTACAAATAGAAAAACAAGCAGAGAGCAATCAGAGGGAATACAAGACATTCTAATGACTCACTCCAGTGGGGTTTCCCATTCATAAAAAATAACAATGTGATCAAATAGAGCACCTTTCAATAAGAAAGCAAGTGTAGGGTAATATGGAATATTAATCATCCATTCCAGTGGAGTAGGCTATTAAAAATAATGATGATGATAAAAACAAAAACAGTCTGATCGTGAGCTAACATGTATAGGGCAATGTGAGGACATATAGTCGTTTAGCGTATGAAATACAATAATAACAAGTATAATGTAATCAGAGGGCGTACCCTGCAATAATAAAACAAGAACTGGGTAATCAAAGGTATGCAGAAACATCCAGTGATGTGTCCCCTAATGAGAATCAAAGAAAAACAGGTACAGCGTTATCAAGAGAAACAAATACTAGGAAACGAGAAAACAAGTACCTACTGAGTAATGAAAAGAGGAAAAACAATGGCGCATTCCAGTGTCATCCAAAAATGACAATTAATGCGTAATAAGGGAGTATCAAGTACAGGGTAATCAACAAATTCAGTGCCGTAGGCGATTGAAACAATTTCTGAGGGGGAGCAGTTGTGGGGGATATCGTGGAACCTATAGAAACCTTTGACTCACATCATTTAGTATGATATTACGATTTTAATCAGAAAGATTTTCGAAATTTCGTAACTGATATTCTTATGGGTGATCTGAAAATATTAGTCTTCTACAACCAGAGTGGTTATGCTATCGATATCGTACGAAACAATATATGGATGATTCATTTCAATAATCTCTCGAAGCGCAATGAAAGAGATTCCTATGATGGATGATAGAGAGAAGAAGTATGTAATGGATTTTTTCTGAACTCTCGGAGGTTACTTTCTTTGGCAAAGAATTCCAAATCTTTGTCGAGTTTTTGTGAAGCAGCCTTCGCGATGAATCCGACACGATTTTTCGATGAGAAGGAGTTAGCTAAATGGTTATTGACATCTTGAATTCCCGTAAAATCCTCGTAGACATGTTCTGTGCCAACAATGATGGCAAAAGCTTCGACAACTCGCCAAGCTCCTTCTTTTTTGTTGGATTGTACGAGCCAAGCAGTGTTGTGAACATAAATTGATTTCCGACATCGAGGATAATTAGTACAAAACGCAACGTTTCTCGTCATCTACCTTTCTTCAGTGGGGTGACTATAGAGGAAGTGTCCTTGGAAAAAAAATTATATGAATCTATTTTGAAGCACTACCGTTTGTGATGGGCTATTTTGTAGAATTCATGATATTCTATTTTCAAACAATTTACCTAAAGATCGCTTGGGATCATTGAAATCAAAGATTCTTTCGCCAGCTTTCTTGAAACCTGAGTTTTCATCCCTGAAGCATTCTCCTTTTAAACCAAATGCCGTTGAGGTTACAACTTCTGCACCGTACAGAGCAGCCACGTGACGCATGTCTATCAGATTGGTGCCAGTTTCCGTGACTCTTTTTATATACCTGTAAGAAAATCAAAGTATTCAATTGCGCCGCTATTTATCCTGTTTTATTTATTCACAGCAAGAAAGATCGTTCAGAAATATAAAGTATGTTTTCCTCATGTCCCTTTTTATGTTCTGTATCATTAATGTCTCGTGATATTTGGCATTTCAGAGGAACATTTTGTAGCATCAGCATAATAACTCAACTTCTTCTGCCACCTACTCGAAAGTCGTCCATTCCAATTTGAAAAATATCTCATGAAAATGACGTTTTCCTCCGATAGGCAGCAAATATTAATTTTGCTGACACATATCAATCAGCGAAGTATTACTTTTCCTGCCTAGGCAGCAAAGTGGGTACTTTGCTGATTGATATGTATCAGCAAGATTAATAATCCATAAATCGTTTATGATTTCCTTCAGATTTCATCCGAGACTTCTCCGGCAACAAATTCAACTCTATATTTTTTGCCACCTCCCTTATTTCTGGAGGTTTAAGTACTTCCAGGTCGCTATCACTGTCCATTATATAATAATTTAAATATACCGATATTTTTTCGCACAACTGTCAGAAATTTCATGAATTGTCAAACTATAATTATTATGGACATTTCCACAGCAACCAACCATTCCAACAACTGCGCTTTCTATCAAATTTCATTTCAATTGAACACTACAGAAAAAATAAAGAGATATATATCATTATGAAAAATCGGAGAAAAAATTATATGTTCAACTTGGCAGCAAAGTAGATTGACTGCCGAGGCTGAATTCATAGCCGAGCGTAGCGAGGCTAGGAATCCAGCCTCGGCAGTCAATCTACTACTTTGCTGCCTAGTTAAACAAATAACTATCCTCTCACTGACGTGAGAATGAATATAGTGCTAGGCAACACTTCCAACTCCTAGGACCTGAAAAAAATATACCTTCTCTAGGTAATCATGAAAGTATTTATTTAACTCAACAATAAAGAAGGACAGATTTTTTTCTCAATTCATCACTTCGGAGAAGGAATAAAAAACGAGAAAGGGATTTGATGGATTACGGGATTTGAACCCCCAACCTCTGACATATTAGGCCGGCACAACACCCCCTGTGCCATTGTGTTTCGAAAATAGTATACGAATAATATATATAGGTAGTATAATCCTCATCACACTGATTATTTGTTGCATCGCTTCCTTATGACACGGCATCCATGTTTTGGGTAGAATTGAATTGGTGCCTGTTTTTCTCACAAATTATAACAAAGTGAAGTAGTCTAACGCATTGTTTCTATATACCCACTAATATATCATCATATTAATCCGTCAAATCTGAGTGACATTGGTGGTCACTTCTTTTATGTTTATTCCAGTGAGGTATTCATCTCTACGCTTGCAGAAATGATGTCATGGTCCATTTGGATCAAAAATGAATTTGTTTGATTCGCAAACTTTGCTTTTTCTTGGCTTTGCTAACGCTTTGCCTCGCAAATGCAAAATTCGCTTGTGAAATAAGTGTCACTTTTGATCCTAATAAGGAGGCAAATATCCATCACACATCATCTATACCAGAAAGGATATGGCCCAGGGCCCATCGCATAGTATCTTTGACAATGCCTCAGCTCTTTCGTAACAGTTTTGTTCTCAGAGCCAAACAAATTCATGAACTAACGATTTTCCGGAACTCCTGAAAGAAACACTGAATCATAATTATTTTTGTCTATCTCCCCAGAGAATGAATTCTTGCCGGACATTCTTTGATCACATGTTTTTTTTCAATTCATGTACCAGATAGATCTCCCGCGACTAATTCAAGAACGTGGGCGATTGTGTAAGAATATCTCATACTAGAATTTTATTTGAAAAAACAGAAAGTGATCATCTACTCTCTTCGTCCCCTAGTGAAATGAAATATATTATAACAGATGAATTTATAACCCTTAAACGTGGGAAATTCAGAAATTTCAGGTTATAGTGGGCAAATGGGTCGTGGTTAATTTACTTACCATATCATGTAACTTTGTGAAGAATATAACGAATGATATATAGAGTATATTTCCATCAGATGAGATTTTATTTGGACGCCATCTACAGAAAATAAAGTTCAACGAACCCCTTTCTTAAGCCAATCCCTGTAGAAAGATATGTCCTGTGCTGGAGGATAGGAAAACAAATCAAACGAATGAAATCTAGATTCATTCGTATTCGAAGGGTTATTAATTCTGCATCACGAATATCTGAATGTGTCACAAATGATATTGAATGCAACTCAAATGCAACGAGGTGTGCATATATAACGCAGGGTGTTAAATAAACGTTCTCCTGTCATTGAAACATGACACAACGATCATGAGCTTTGAATAAATCTAATCAATGAAATATATCCCTTATACAATGCAATACACCTTCACAGATATAGGAATATCGAATAATGATTTTTCAATTGTAATAGATTCCAAAGTGTACTCGATTTTAGATTATAAAAGATTTGATAATAAATGTTTCAACTGAAAAAGAGTAAATATTCCCATCACATAGAGAATGCGAATTCTCAATGTATTGCTTTATATAAATATACAGAGTGCGCCATTGAAAACGAAACAGCGGCTCTGTAGGTCAGCAAAACCGGATTATGAAAAAAATATGAAACATGTAAACTACATTTTCGAGGGAAAGTTCGTTCTAAAATATTTTCAGCCCTGCGGCGTTGCCGCATCTAACGAGAAGAAGCAACAACTTTGTTATTTCAAATGGAACGCCTTGTATTTCGTTGCATTTTAAGATTCTTCCCGAAGAGGTGATTTCATCAATGCATTATACTTGGGGTCTAGCTGGAATGATTTCAGGGATATAGGTTTGTTCAAAATCGAGATTTTACAACTTAAGGATTTTTTGTGTCGAAACAATTCATTATTGGTCAAAACGGCTTTCATGTCCCTATCTCAACTTTTGATTCACTATCTACTGATATTTCATTGTAACAGATACAGGGTGATCAGAAGTCTGAATCTTGAACCACCCTGTATTTGTTTCAAATAAATGTCAGTAGATAGTAAATCAAAAGTTGAGATAGGGACATAGAAGCCGTTTTGACCAATAATGAATAGTTTCGACACAAAAAAATCCTAAAGTTGAAGAATCTCGATTTTTTAACACCCTATATCCCTGAAATCATTCCAGCTAGACCCAAAGTGTGATGCATTGATGAAATCAGCTCTTCGGGGAGAATCTAAAACTGCAATGAAATATAAGGTGTTCCATTTGGAATAACAAAGTTGTTGCTTCTTTTCGTAAGAAGCGGCAACGCCGCAGGGCTGAAAATATTTCAGAACGATGTCCCCCTCGAAAATGTAGTTGACGTGTTTCAGATTTTTTTCATAATCCGGTTTTGCCGACCTACAGAGCCGCTGTTTCGTTTTCAATGGCCCACTCTGTATATCCATTTTTGTATGTTCATAATTTATCTGAGAATATTCCTTTTCAACAATTTCATACCCAATCAGGGGGTTCAAACTTGAACGATGGAAACTTGTGATTTAAATAGACCTCTAATCGCAGATTCGTGATAGTCTCAATTTAGAATTCATTTCCACGCCCTGTATGATGAATGTCAATTTATCATACACCCAAAAGATCAGTGAATACTTCATAACATGCAGAGACTACCTAATGTCAGCAAGACTGTGTATAATTCAGAAAATGTCGATAGACAAGAGCTCATAGATATTGTCAGCTTCCGAATTACATCATGGTCAATTTCATAATCAATTTGGGCTCCATCAGGTTCTGGATTCCAGGGGCATACGAGTCTGGTGAGATGTCAGGTGACCTATTTGTATTTTTAGTACAGCCAGTACATTGAATTTATAAATATCAAGTTGTGATTCATCTATATCTTCTTGAAATTCAGATTAACTCTCCAGTTTTAACAGAAACAGTACTTTGGCTCTTTTAGCCAGGACAATCTTTCCATGAAGACTGTTCCATCAAAATCCTCACAAATGCTTACTCATCCGAGACCATGAAGAGCATTTAGCAAAATAGTGACATAATCTTCAAATAGTAAGAATGAAAGTTCTTTATGTTTTTAATCTTTCGTTCTCTTTTCTAGTTGACATGTCATTAAAGTCAAAAAATACACCGAGAAGCCAGCATCGATTCAACCGTTTCAATATCTGATACCAGTTTCAAATGAATAATCAATCAATACAGATCAATAAGATGACGCTGACGGCATACTGCTTAGATATGTCACTGTCGCGATCCTGCTTGTTGAAGGCTGAACGCTGAACTACCTACTGGTTGATGCTACATCAGACAATGAAAAAAAAAAGAAATGAAATCACAATTTTGAACCATATTAACTTGTTTGCATTTCACCTGAATATTTTCAGAATAGACTGGAATAATAAATAAACTTTCTTCAATTCTACACAACTTAATGCAATCCAATCCAAATTATGTAAGAATATACAGGATGATAACCGACGAATGTTAGTGACTTGCAGCTCCATGAAATCAGAGAAGCTCAAAATATCCTACAGGAGGAG